ACAATTAACAATCATTAAAAGGAATACTATCAGCAAGCTGAAACATGCACGTACTTCCTCCCATTAGCCTGGTGATACTAATACTTCCATGGGCAAGCGCGTAACTATGATTTTTTATGGGAAATATTACAAAAGCTGTAATAACTTTTAAACCGCAATTCTCGCATCATTGTGGTGTTGGGCCATGGATTATTTTGTTAAGAGTCCAAAGGACCATAAACATACTCAATTTCAACCACAATCATCTGATGTTTTGTGAAATTCCGATTTTCCTGTTACTTCATGGGGAAATCACCATTAAAAATCTTCATTATATTGAATTTTAGCCTCCTGATCACATTTAAACGCTAAATAATGGTGTTAGCAACACATTGATCACATAAATGCAGGTATTTACAACATTATTTAGTCTTAAAAATCTAAATTAAAAAAGAAGAACATGCCTGGAGATACCATAGATTAGTACCCACATACCAAAAGTTCCCTTTAGAAAGGAATTATGACCTTAAAGGGCAATTTATGAAATAATGGACAGTTTTGCGCAAGGTTTCTCGTCATGACGAACTAAGTATATGGTTTATGGGAGTGTGATTTGTAGTTTTCTCAAAAGTTCATGGGTACTTTGGGGTTTATATATGGATTTCAACAATAAATACACAAATAGTTTGTATTTTAATTTTCGAGTTTAAAAATTATCTTATTGGTCATGCTCCCGTATAAGAATATGTCAAAACAAACCCGACCTTCAACGTTCAGGAGGAAACGAGACGTGTGCAATCGGTAGACTTTGACCACAGACGTGTAAACCGATGCTCAAGTAAGCATTAATCAGAGTATTCGGTCTTGTGGTTTATCTAGTCTGTACAATATTTGGACCGTGGAATTTTAAATATTGCTTTAGAATATGAACAACACTTAAGAATATGAAACCATTTAGTCATTTTAATTGTCATGCCTTGAATCATGCCTCCATAGTATGATTTATTTACTTGTATATGACTTTGATGATCACATTATTTTCTGACACACGCTTGATGAGTGTTCTGAGTTAATATTTTTGAGGCCTTTTTAAGATTACTGTTTAACAAACTATAATGACTTTTAAAATCAACCCATGAATATATAAGAATTAATTATTATTGAAAAAAAGTTAAAACTTTTCAAACCACAGTTGTTGGTATTATGACTACTTTCGTCCCTTAGAACTTTGTCAAGTCATTTAATATACAACTACATCATCAATGTATAATAAATAAAAATTGTGATTGTGACAATATTTTCAAGAATCGTCGTACCAACTGTGATTGGATAAGGTAATCGTTTTATTTTATCAATAATATATACCAACCAAGAGTCACAATGAATAATAAAATTATTTATTGTTACAACCATTCTACCTCAAAATAATTTATAACTACAGAAAAGAAATAATGTTGATTGGTATTTTATTTTTACAGTATGGAGCCTAATTAAGGAAGAAAAACTATTAAAACTACATATCAGTATACCAATTTAGCTTCAACGTAAAGAAAATAAATTAAAGTTAAAAAAAGAAATGCATGTTGAAGAAACGAATACACGAATACATTCATTAGTCATTGATCTGTGACTAGATTTTACTCTTCCAGTTTACAAAAGTGGGAGATAGAACTGGCTGGAGAATTGAAGCAAAGAAGAAAATGTTTGGCACCCTTCCAAAGCAACACTACTAGAATCGATTTAAATCAACCTTTATTTATTCATCTGTATTCCGGGCAGAGGAGTTTCAAGATGCTAGTAACACTTTTTGTCTAATGTATCAATTTACGAACTATACAAACACACTATACAAACTACATACTATACAACAATACAGATCATAAATTTGAAATCTCCCCCTCCCCCTAAAAGAACACACATATGATTTTTTTCATATTCAAAATCATTTTTGTATAGCTTAATTTCGTCTATCATTTTTAAGTATTATTTTACGCGTTAACAATGGGCTATACTGTCAAAAATGAACAAGGTTTGTCAATATTGAGAAAACTGATTATTTATATTAAACAATAAAACAAAAAAAATAAATAAAACGCTTGAAAAACGCAATTACATATGACAAGGTAAGCCTTTGTCTTTGTTGTTCCTTTAGGTATTTGAAGTAAAAGGTACGAAATAATTTCACGAATAAAATAATTTTATCAGAGTTTATAGGCCTTTCAACCTTATCAGGCCTTACCTTAGGCCTTTCCCTGGGGAACAATCATAGAGAATGATCAAAGAAATTGAACGCTATCGACCGTGAACTGTATAGAAGGCCTGGGCATTGTTGAGGTCAATGGGTTGTTTACATTCTTTCCATTCGCTACGAACAAACCGCTAAAAGCTTTAGATTTGGTTAAGTAAATCCTTTGCATATAATAACAAAACAGGCTTATGTATAAAAACTAATAAATCTATTTGCGCCCAAGTACATACTGAATAACTAGTTTTTATGGTTTATCACTAGACCAAGCTGTCTTTGATGGTATTCCTTTCAATCTCAGTTTTTTTCTTAGTCATTAAAAAGCTAAAACGCTACTTAAGGCAACTCACTGTATTCAACGCCCTTCTTTCATAGGTTAACTAGGAGTGAGCTTGGCTAGTCGTAGAGTGGGGCTTCAATCCCTGGGGTCCAGGGTAGGAATCCTGCCGATCATCAATGCATACAATTCTAGGTACAAAACAACCTCACACGATAAATAATATGGTAAGGATAAAACATTGTGACAGACAAATGCTATAAGAGAGATGGAGAAAACTTTTACAGTATGTGTATTGAACCTGTCTCTTGCCCCTCCGGACGTCTACCTCGTGACTGGCCAATGGTTTAGGGCCCATGCTGTTCAACTGTATATAAAGAGTTAGGAGACCACCGGTTAGGTTCAATCATACAGACTGTAGTGTGTCCCAGAATATTTTCTACAAAGTTATGGAAGGAGCTCATGTATCCAACATATTATAAACTCATTCTGATTGTAAAAAAATTTTATAATACAATGAAATAAAGCGTGATCTCCTACATGGCCTGATGTTTGCAGGACCATGTGGCTGGTAGCGTGGTCGCTGGTGATGGCGTTGTCCCAAGCCCAGGCCCTGCACATGATAGACCCCCGCGCTACCCTGGACTGTCACAGACGATTGTACAGCTACACGGTGACTCAGCGAGACAGCGAGGGCCGAGCGTGTACAGTCACTGTCATGTGTGATCTCCTATATGACCTGATGTTTGCAGGACCATGTGGCTGGTAGTGTGGTCGCTGGTGATGGCGTTGTCCCAAGCCCAGGCCCTGCACATGATAGACCCCCGCGCTACCCTGGACTGTCACAGACGATTGTACAGCTACACGGTGACTCAGCGAGACAGCGAGGGCCGAGCGTGTACAGTCACTGTCATGTGTGATCTCCTATATGACCTGATGTTTGCAGGACCATGTGGCTGGTAGCGTGGTCGCTGGTGATGGCGTTGTCCCAAGCCCAGGCCCTGCACATGATAGACCCCCGCGCTACCCTGGACTGTCACAGACGATTGTACAGCTACACGGTGACTCAGCGAGACAGCGAGGGCCGAGCGTGTACAGTCACTGTCAAGTGTGATCTCCTATATGACCTGATGTTTGCAGGACCATGTGGCTGGTAGCGTGGTCGCTGGTGATGGCGTTGTCCCAAGCCCAGGCCCTGCACATGATAGACCCCCGCGCTACCCTGGACTGTCACAGACGATTGTACAGCTACACGGTGACTCAGCGAGACAGCGAGGGCCGAGCGTGTACAGTCACTGTCAAGTGTGATCTCCTACATGGCCTGATGTTTGCAGGACCATGTGGCTGGTAGTGTGGTCGCTGGTGATGGCGTTGTCCCAAGCCCAGGCCCTGCACATGATAGACCCCCGCGCTACCCTGGATTGTCACAGACGATTGTACAGCTACACGGTGACTCAGCGAGACAGCGAGGGCCGAGCGTGTACAGTCACTGTCAAGTGTGATCTCCTACATGGCCTGATGTTTGCAGGACCATGTGGCTGGTAGTGTGGTCGCTGGTGATGGCGTTGTCCCAAGCCCAGGCCCTGCACATGATAGACCCCCGCGCTACCCTGGACTGTCACAGACGATTGTACAGCTACACGGTGACTCAGCGAGACAGCGAGGGCCGAGCGTGTACAGTCACTGTCATGTGTGATCTCCTATATGACCTGATGTTTGCAGGACCATGTGGCTGGTAGCGTGGTCGCTGGTGATGGCGTTGTCCCAAGCCCAGGCCCTGCACATGATAGACCCCCGCGCTACCCTGGACTGTCACAGACGATTGTACAGCTACACGGTGACTCAGCGAGACAGCGAGGGCCGAGTGTGTACAGTCACTGTCAAGTGTGATCTCCTACATGGCCTGATGTTTGCAGGACCATGTGGCTGGTAGTGTGGTCGCTGGTGATGGCGTTGTCCCAAGCCCAGGCCCTGCACATGATAGACCCCCGCGCTACCCTGGACTGTCACAGACGATTGTACAGCTACACGGTGACTCAGCGAGACAGCGAGGGCCGAGCGTGTACAGTCACTGTCATGTGTGATCTCCTATATGACCTGATGTTTGCAGGACCATGTGGCTGGTAGCGTGGTCGCTGGTGATGGCAGTGTCCCAAGCCCAGGCCCTGCACATGATAGACCCCCGCGCTACCCTGGACTGTCACAGACGATTGTACAGCTACACGGTGACTCAGCGAGACAGCGAGGGCCGAGTGTGTACAGTCACTGTCAAGTGTGATCTCCTACATGGCCTGATGTTTGCAGGACCATGTGGCTGGTAGTGTGGTCGCTGGTGATGGCGTTGTCCCAAGCCCAGGCCCTGCACATGATAGACCCCCGCGCTACCCTGGACTGTCACAGACGATTGTACAGCTACACGGTGACTCAGCGAGACAGCGAGGGCCGAGTGTGTACAGTCACTGTCAAGTGTGATCTCCTACATGGCCTGATGTTTGCAGGACCATGTGGCTGGTAGTGTGGTCGCTGGTGATGGCGTTGTCCCAAGCCCAGGCCCTGCACATGATAGACCCCCGCGCTACCCTGGACTGTCACAGACGATTGTACAGCTACACGGTGACTCAGCGAGACAGCGAGGGCCGAGCGTGTAAAGACACTGTCAACGTCATGAGCTGCTGGGGCCGGTGTGATTCTAACGAGGTAATTTCTGATCATTTCTATGTTTATTGCAGTTTTGATGTTAAACTTGGCACTTACATAGTTTCTAAAATGTAATATTACGTTTGATTATTAATAAGAGTAGACATTACATTTTGATACACTGGCAGTAGAAAGTTAGAAAAAAACTTAGTTGAATTGAGCTATAAACAGAATACGCTGATGTCTTATAATTGATTTCTGGTGAATACGAACACTTTATAACGAAGCCAAATTTTGAAAAATCCAAATTCAAAGTATAAAATTGAAATGTCCCATGTACCATTATCAGTTATCACACGTTCACTCATTCACTCCTGTAGCCACTCCAAGTACATTTTTTCTCCTCGCCAACAACTGTCCTACAGACTTCTCTGTCCTCCGACATGTCAACTTCTCTGCCAATTTTCTCCAACCACTTGACCACTCATAATCTTGGTCTTCCTTCTAGTTGACCTCTTCACCCCTTTCTTATGGTTGCACCATCCTATCTCCTTCTCCCATGACCACGCACCCAATTGTTCTACTTCTTATCATCGTCACAATACCTGTTCATAATTACTCTTTTTTTAGAAATAATAGTGGTAGAACTGATAAAATATACTTTACGTTTAATTGTGCTACCTTAAAAATTTTATTAAACTAAGATAATGTGCTATAGATAAAATAATGTAACATTTTGCTTTTAAATAAATCAAATATCTTTACAATATTTGTGATTTAGAACTTTAATTCTAATGTAGTTATTTAGCAATACCCCTCGTGTGTTCCAAAATAAGCATATGGTACGTAATGAAACATGCAGATTCATTATATCACGCCAGAAGCAGTAGTTTCAATTATATATTACATAATAGGATCAATAATATAATATTTCAATATTATATTACATAATAGTATCAATAATATAATAGGATATTATATTAAATGATAAAAGGAAACTACACTAGTAGTTGTGTTTTATGAACATATAGTTCACATAATAACGTATGTTTTCATTTATATATTAACAATACCTGGTACATGTTTGTTCTCTACCGTTTCCATTTTACAAAATTCGCAAAGATATAAATCTCCCACCTAACAAACAGTGCGAGTTTATTTCAAATATAACTAATCTTCAATCATAAAACTATAAAAAAATATTAAAGAATAATTGGAATAAATGATAATCTTAAATAAATTAAGATTCGGCCATTATTTTTTTTTAGTACCGTTCGTTCTCACATTAATTTAATGCCATGCGTCTTCCAATTACAAATAATGATTTATTTTTGCCAACAAAAATTACTTAAAGAAATTGTGCCGTCATGTTTTTAAAAAAAGGTGAAAGGAATGGATCTTTGGTAGGGTGAAGAAGTATTTCAATTCACTAAAGCTTGAAAGCTTTTTTGTTTTACAAAATACTCTTATTATTTGTACCAGGCATTTCTTGAAATATTTCAAGTAACAATCTAGTGAAACTGGAGAAGTTAATCCGTAGAAAGGTTTCACTATTTTTACAGACACAAAAAATATGCTATACGTTTATCAATACTAGGTATTAGAAACAGTAATTTACTTCTTTAAATAATAATTTCCAACCTTTCTGAATGCGCCCAAAAGTAAAAATATTTTATATTTATTAAAACAATACGTCTTCAGTTTCCCACTTGTTCTATCTTGATAAGTGTATAATGTAGAATTGTTCATTGTATGCATTTTAATTGAACAGGTTAGGCCATTTAAAAGGGGAATGCATAATTTTAAATCAAATTGGTTGGACTTCAAAGTTAGAGTAGAATTTATTTGGTGGAATAAAAGTCCTGTTAAATAATATATTATTGGTTGTTGTTTGAACAGGTTAGCTAACGAAAGGGCTCTGCCTTGATATTGAAAAAATAGCTTTTAAAATGTAGCTTTTAAAAAGCCATAGTAAGATTTATTGTTAGTTACCGTATCAAACAAAACTTAATCTTAAATCAAATTGACCAGGAGCTTCAGGTTTTTTTAGGAAATATGTATAAAGGATACTGATTAGTCATTTAAGTTGTAAAGTAAGATATTTTTTAAGATATAAAAAATCCAACTAACTAACTTTTACAAAACACAAGCAAGCCTTAGACTATCTTCAGCCTGATGAATTTAAATTGATAATGGACTTAGATGAAATTTTTAGGCCAATAAGGGTTTTAAAAATCATAAATAGACTGTTAAATTATGTCGTCACCCTAGCCTACTCAACTCGTTGACCACGACCAAACTATCGTGTAAATGTACAACATATGTTTTTTAAGTTTAATAAATTTAATGCTACCCTCTACCGGTTGGGTACTATTTAGCTCAAAATAATCTGTATTTAGACAATCATATAAATTTTGGATTATTTAGGATCAAGCATTTAGATTCCAAGAATTATAAATTGACGTATCATCCCAAACTAATTGCTGGTATTTTATTACAAACAAGTATTGATGGAGCTACCGGAACGTAAACAAAGAGGTATGTCTTGTGTTTTTTTGGAGTGCAAAGTCATCTAATGCCACGATGTTGTGCGAAAAACCTCTAAAGTAAATTTAGGAGGCTATTAAAAGTAAGAGGGTTGCTTAAGTTGAAATGGGTTTACAATCAAGCTTCCAACAACGATTAAAAATAATCGGTATCAGCAAACTTACATACTTTCTCCCTTCAGCTTGTCAACAACCCTTATAACAATAATTGGTGGGAGGAACTATGATAAGCCACTTATTATACACTCATTTCCATTCATACTTTGGCTTAAAATACCTACTTTCGTATGGTTGCAATTTCATAGTAAAGTAAACCAAAAGTATTATAGATATTTCATTGGTAAAAACACATAAATGGGAAACATTTTGACCCGTTATCTTTATGGCATTGGAGTTTTGCCATTTTTTGCGGGTGAATACAACTACAACTTATTATTTTTCATCAAAATAGTTTAAGGTGTGTTTGTAAAAATACGATTTCTTGTTATTTTATGGGTTTTATGGGGAAACCTTTGACATCCTTTGTAAATTTATTTGAATGTAATTTGACGACTCAATTAATGGATGAAGCATTTAATAGGAGATTACCGATACCTGAATAGGCGAAACATGTCGTGAGTTTCATAACCAAACTTTGTTTATCTGTTAACGTTAAGGTATGTACCGTATAAACTATCTTATTAAACAGTTAAGGGGCTACATTATGAATTTGAATTCATTTTGTAGGGACTGTCGGATAAAAAATATCTGAAGACAATATGTTTGATTTCACCTCGGTTTTGTACAATAAACCTTATACATTCATTGAAAAAAGTGAATATTTGAACTTCTTGGAAGCATCACACATTTATTGACGCAATACCAAAAATTAATCAGCAATGGTTCAGCTTAGAAGTTTTGCTTTAAGACTATACAATCCGTGGGAAAACCGACATACTGTGACGTCACAGCGGCCGTCCCTTTAGGCGGTTTTGTGGGACAAAAGGACTCCATTCATTGAGCGCCCCATTTCTCTCGGTTTCACAACATTCAATGGTCTTGATATCAATCTCTTGGGCATTGACCAAGTCCAATACGGGTAAGTTTAGTAAAGTGGATTACTATAAAAAAACATGATATTTGTTATGGTGTTTTTAAACAAATTAATATTTGTGAATAATTTGTGTAATGTGAACCAAGCAGATGCTTACACACGGTGCGTTATGGTAAATAAACGGTATTTTGTCGCTGTTTTCGTGCAAATTAAGTAACAAAGGTTACAATATCTGGGCAAACCTTGTGTAGGAGAGTTCACAGCATCAATAAGGTTGCTTGTGTCTTATCCCATTAGGAAATATAAACTCTCTAAAAGAAAAAAAAGTATTTTATTAATAAATATATTTATGTATTCATATTCATTGGCAGCAGCACTAACTTTAGAAAGTCTATCGAACAAATTTCCCGTTAAATATTTATACAACTGTAGCATCTTTTTCTTGCAGGACAATTATTTTCAGCTCTAATTGAATTATTTTAAGAGCATGTGTGAGTAATTTATATAACTTTATTGTTTGAATAGAACAGTGTAACTAATTTTGCAGGTGTCAAGGGATTAAGATGAATTTCTAATCTTGATTTAACATGTATAAAAAACTGTTTAAATAAATTGTCAAATTAATTAGTCAACTGTTTATGTTGAGTTTTAGTGCTCACCTTATGTTTTGAAAGACGCTGGTTGAATCCTAAACTAATTTATTCCAGGGCAAGTTGTCTTTACATTAGGCTATTAAATATTCCTTGACACCCAGAACAAGATTATGTTGGTTTAGCAAGAGATTGGAGCATTTAGTTACTTGTTGTTAAACACAACTGCCATAAAAGCACGCGCGAATAAATATTTAATCGTTAAATGTAAGTGGCTTTTTACACCTACAATGGTGTAAAACAACCTCTATTTTTAGTGAGGTCTATAATTTTAGCATTCAACGAAATGGGTGCTTTTAGTTTAAACTATTGCTGGTTTATTGGTCTTATGTACTTTACGATGTTCTATACAAGGGTTCAAGATTATTGGTGAAAATTCTAATAGTTCGTATGTTATTCTTTGTCGTTGGATACTGAAGTAGTCATCAGAACCCTCTGTCAGCACATTACTCAAAGAGCGAACATTTTGTAGAGTGTTTTACTGTTAACATCTTTTATGTTTGCAGTATGTGGTACTTTTTGGGGACATTAAATACACTGTGATTTGCAGTAAGTACTATAGCTGTAACCTGTTTCCTGCCCCTCCTTATTTCTGGGGAATGGCAAATGGAAACCCAGGCCAGTCCAAGGTAGATAAAGGGTCAGGATACAGGTTCCGTCATACAGACTATATACGGTAGCTCACTAGGTTAAAGTACTAATCTTCAAAGTTGAATGTTGCTCGTTCTAACCCTATTTGTCTTAATTCTGGATACAGGTGCCATTTATGATTGGGCTATGGATTAATTAAATTATGCTATCCTAGAAAAGATTGTGGTTATATAGTATCAAGTCCAGGTAGACCTAGTTACAAAAACGTAAAAAGTTTCAGTTGGCGTAAACACAAAATATTAGTTGCTCTTAGTGGTAGTTCTAGAACGTTGTAAAGGGGGGGGGGTTGCTGGGGGTTTGGGGGGTGCCCAAAGTGAAAGAAAGAAGGGAGTCCGGGGTAAAACGATTGCTATTATTAAATCCGTTCTAGAATCCGTATTAGAACTGCATCAAAAAAACATCAGTAACGTTTTCATGACGATATGTATGATAAAGTTTATTTGTCCGGGGTCCAATAGGGAGTAGGCTTTAGCTCCTGTAGCCCCAGCTACTGGATGCACTATAGACTGGCATGTTTGAAATTTAGTACAGAGATAAAATATTGATGACCACACACTTTTGGTGGCTCCATTGTATTCTTAAACATGATTGCATTTCTACTTCGTGAAATATCGTTGTCATATCCCAAATGATGACCATCCGATCTATTTTACTTATAATATTATACTTGCAGTTTTCCCCATTATCCACAGATCTCCGACTGGCGGTTCCCCTACAAGCGGTCGTATCACCCAGTATGTCTCCACGACACGAGGGAGGAAGTAACAGTTGTCCTGCGTAACTGTGACCCCGACGTGGAGCCTGGAACGGAGCGCTACAAGTTCCTGCAAGCTCTGACATGTCGCTGCTCCGTCTGCAAGAGCAGCGAGGCTAGCTGCGAGGGACTCAGGTACCGCGGGATCCACGGAGGCTAGACCCCGCGCGAGGCTATTTCCTGCTGTTAAACCTTTCATCCATTGTTCGGTGTCTTGATGGCTTTTTGGTCGGAATTTTAAGAGGGAAATTTTTAAGGGTTCTAAATATAGGATTGGTTATGAACTATTTTGATTTCAATTCTTTTTTAAAATGAAACAAAACTCAGGAGGTTAAACTTAGCCGTGGTATTAACACAAGCTTGACATTATCTTACATGTATTTTCAATTTGAATGCAATGAAATATAATATTTTACTGTAGCACTTTTGTGAACATTGATAAGCGGATTTGTTTCAATTGTATAAAAAAAATTATATTTTTGTTTGCTTTATTCGAAATATGTATTTTTCGTTTTTGGTTCACGAATCATCTCAATGACATTTAGTTTATGTTCAATGTTGGAATATTGGATATTTTATCCAAAAATATTACTTAGCCTATCTTTTGGCGTTGGAACTTTTTAGTTTTAGTTGGACATTATTGTAAAGATAAATTTTTATCGCTGTTTCAAAAAATATTTTTCTTGAAAACTAATTTTGAACTGTGAAACTAGCTAGGAAAATATTCAACCATATTATCAGTTTTACTAGAACATGTGTTGAAGTAGCGTATGGCAATATACAATAAAATATTCGTCTTTTTTCAGCGATAAATTATAATTAGTATGGGCACTGTTAAAAGTAAATTATGTTTTGATGCATACGACTTTTCCTACAGTTATACCAATATAAATTAAAATTTAAATATTTCACTACAGTTAAATACTTAATTATTCTTTTCGATCAAGTTATAAACAATGTTTACCATCAAGAACCGATACGACTCTATACTTTTCATTTGCAATCATTGTACTTTGCTGTATATATTTTGTGTAAGTATGATTATAAAGATTATTTTAACAGTTCAAAGGTATAGTTTTTGTTTTGACCATCCCTTTTAAATTGTAACAACTCAAAAGTTAATGAACTCTAAATATATATTTTTAACTAAAGCAAAACTTAATAGGACTATTTGTTAGAATTAACATCCATCCTAACATTAAATTAAAATAACACTAAAAAACATACCTTAAAATTAGTTGACTTTTTAAACTGAATTGACAAAAAGCTAGGTTTTATATTTTCGCAAACATCTCTGTCCTAGGTAGGCCTACCGTAATTGTCTTTTCTCTTCAAACAGTGAGAGAAACACAACTTGTCAATAATGGAGCGTTAACGAATTAACATTCGAAACTTTGTTTGTTCACAGCAGCTACTTTGCTCCCAACCATTACGAACGATTGGGAAAAGTTATCTCCAATCGCCAAACAAAAATAACTGCTTAACATATCAAGGTACATCACGAACTAGTCTACATAAAAACAATACTACAATTTTTTATCAAACTTATAAAACTATTAAAATGAGTTAAACCGTTGAAATGTACGAGGATATAACTGGGAAGAGGTGACGTAACACAATATATAACAGTAATGAAAAATATTTACATGACAATATTAATATAATAAATCAAACAACTTTTCTAGACATAAAATAAGTAGTGAACACAATTACATAAACAAAATTTAAATACCTGAATAAAAAATTCAAATAAATGTAAATTAAACATTGAATGAAATAGTAGTTATGTAATTACATTTTTAATTTTAAAACACACTCCCAAAATATTTCTTATGATTTTTTCATTACATTAAGAAACTATTTTTCACATCCATTTTCACTTACAATTTCATCAACATCACTTTATTCACTCACACCATAACACTTACAATATTGTGTTTCTCTGCTGCAGGAACTGGAAGATGCTATCGGACCAAGCATGAGTGACACAGCATACAGCATAACAGCACAGCATGGTAGAGGCATGAAGCATATCACAGCATGAAACATACACGTATACGAACAAATGCCATTTGTAACCAGCACATGTTAATAAATACACTACCACACTACACGATCCTGTACCCTGTAGTAACCTTTTCCACGTAGCTTTCGCCACAACCTGTAGTGTGACCTTAGTGCAGATGAAGTTAGTTTCCCAATATCCGAAGATAATACACCATATATCCCTATGTACAGTTGTTTTGACCAAGTGATAAATTTTGCAATTAGTGTTGCACTGTTGGAGAACAGTAGGCCTAACCCCGTATTAATGGATGTTTATAAGCTACAACGTAAAACTATTGACTTACACAACACCCTGTAGTATAACCCTAGAAATAGCAATGATACCCCCCCCCCTTGCAATGATAGACAGCATATGTGAACTATACCACAGCATCTTCTAATACAATGCAGCGGTGAAGCAAAAGTGGCAACGTCGCATTCCCAGCCTACCGAAACAGCTGGCACAATGTTTATGTTTACACGTTTGTTATTGCTATTGCCATGGCAACAGGCCGGCCCGGCGACGTTGCCACACACCAACGTCGCGGCCTTGTATTAGAAGAGGCTATTACCTTAACCAAAGTAGTTGTTTGGACCGTTACATTTTGTGCTTAGATTAAAGTAATGAACCCTTAATGCATAGACAAGTAGATATGTTAATATTGTAGTCAAATAATGGAGAAACCCTTGAAATGTTTGTACTGTCCTGCAAATTAGTTGTGTGTGGAACCCCTATACACAATTAACACAATTAACTCTTACAAACAGGCTGAAACGATTTGTAGCATATCTTTCACTACACTTTCATTGACTAAACATTTTTTATCTACTCGTACAAACGTACACAAAAGTCTACCGTTTCCAATACCATAGCAGTTATGATAACAATTTATTTATAAAGTAAATTCCCTATTATACAGAGCGTCTCGCAAGTAAAGAAAAAAACTCCAGGTAATGGTTTTATAGGTCAAAATAAAACAAAAATCTGGACAAACAATTTTTGAAAGTACCACGTTAGCATGATATTTTAAATGTTTTTCATTTTAGTACATAAAACATGTTTATATCTTTAATACAATGAAAGTTATTACAGTGAAAATCAGTATACAATTTAAAGTACAGTAGCAATAAACGATTTAATTGCGAAAACTCTAAGGCCTACCACTATTTTTTTTTTTTTTAAATTGAAGCCATTTGAATTGGTAAAGCTCTAAATACTGATAAATGGCTGACAAAAATATTTATGACATAAATGTCAAAACCACTTCTAAGAAATATCGTTTAGTGATAAATTTTTCGAAAATTATTTATGGTTACATTAAATCTGTATACTGAATTTGCTTAGGATATTAATAATATTTAATAGTTTCTTAGGAACATTAATTTTCAGTAATGAAAAACAAAATTCCAAGTATCTTGCTAACGAGGCGTTGTTTGACAAATGTATTCTTGAATTTTGTTTTATTTCGATCCATTACTGGAGTTTTAAACAAAGTATTTTGGCTTTAATAGACCTTTTTGCATCCAACCTATAAAACACAAATTGCAAAGAGAAATACATACCGGTATATGCTTTGAAACAATGCAGTAGTGTAGACACAATCAGCAAAGCTTTGCTTAGCTTTATAATAGTGCATAATCTAATAATCTATAGTGCAAAACCATTTTTTTTTAGTTTGTTGCTGTAATAGACAGTGAATTTTAACTTGAAACACCACTATAGGTCTTAAGCACTGCAATCTTTTTCACAGCTTTATTATTGTTTGTTTCTAACAACACATTGATAAACAATTGATATTCAATAGAAACATTAATTGAAGAGGATTAAATTTAACTTTTACATCGCAATAATTGGGTTTAATAGCTTTAGTTAAAAACTGTTCTGCCTGAAAAATGTTTAGTTTGGCACACATGTTAAATAGTTTTGGCCACATTTATCTTATATCCGAAGGTATTTTGAACTTTTTATTCGGGAAATCCATTTTCCCCAAATTTTTTTGTATTTAGTGGACGATTTTTATTTAAACAATCTTACTTTCCACTGTAAAGAATATACATTTGTATTTAAATAAGATGACATAAATAACAAAAACAGATGAACTCAAAGAGGTGTAGTGAAACTATTTATGTCTGAATGGTAAGGGATAAATAATTATTTAATTAAATTATGCAGTTAAGCATGCAAAAGCAATTATGGAAAAGCTTACTGTCCTTCTAAAAAGTACATTTCAATAAATGAGATTTTAGATTTTTTTTGCTAGCATAACAGAATTTATAGTGAAAGAGTAAAAGAACTACATAGTTTCCAGGTAAGTATTATGACCTCCGGAGACATCATTAAAATACGTTACTTCTGCTGCTGATAGAGAGCACTGCATTGCTGAGTTTATACACCCTAAATAAGGGTAAGTAATGTTATAAGATACAGATAAAGTTGTGACAGTAAAAACAAATCAGTATGTAAAGTCATAACGTTAATATTGAGGTAAAAATTACCGGTGTATCAATATTTCATAATAATTTAAACCTCATATAAAATACAAACGTTAATCAACATCATAAATAAGTAAATAAACAAAAATTCTTTTATCGAGCAAGCGTTTCTCAGTACGTAAGTTACTGCCTTTCAGAACAACTTTCGTTTTAGTAAATAACGTAAATTATACTACCTAAAATGTATATAAGCAATAACAAACAAGAAACAAGAACATCTAGATAACAACTATCAGTGTACAATTCTTTGTAAAAAATGACAAGGAAGAAGATAAAGAAGGGAAAGAATTGCAATGCATGGATGTTACAAAAACGATGGGATCAAAAACCTTACTAGCATATTTTATCAATACACATTATGAAACTGTTCACATTGTTTTTCAAATTATACATTTAAATTCACAAAATATTTTTTTTTTTTTTTCGAAAAAAATAAATGTTACTCGTATTTAATTATAATATCAAATACAGTTGTTTGTTCAATTGAAGTATTTTGTTCTTATTTTTAATAAACAAGTTTTACTTATATTTCTCATTTTTAGTTATAGTCCTAATATTAACTTAAGCATTTGAGAGTAATATTTGTAATTTAAATAATATCATTACTATTTAAATTACAAATATTAACTCTAAAATAGTTAAGTTAATATTAGGACTGTAACTAAAAGTGAGAAATATAAGTACGAAAGAAAATTCTAGATCTGCTGTATTAAAAGCATGTGAATTTTTTAAAACTTTAATGTAAAATATTTTTAGGCTAAGTATGGTAGAGAAAATATAGATTATTTTTTAAAGTTTTAAAGTTATACCAAATCTTTTAGACGTTTTAAGACAGTATTTCGTGATAATTGCGAAAGTTAGTTAGCTTATTAGGCCTACAGTATGTTGGACTTAAATTTAATAATTTTTGTGTTCTGGTAATTTTCTCGACTAAAACACTTTCTTATCCTCTTTTGAGAACATAATTGCAGTAACTTAAGTAGTACTACCTCCATGAATTGAAAATTAATAATATAATATAATAATAATATAAGTAGACCATCAAATCCGCTACACCAATTGTTAAAAGATCTTATAAACAAAACACTAGTAAAATAGGGGATATATTTTTATAAAACTTTAGAAATTTATTTATTTTATACTAAACCATTAATATTTTACTAAAACACACTTTATTAGTTTCCTCGTAGCAGCAAACCTTGGTACTCGTTAAACCTAATGTTGTTTAAATAGATTTAATTGAAAATCTATTCAGACAAGGAAATTTTCTTAGTTCACAGGTTTGCTGCGGGGGTATTTTATTTTATTAATTTTTTTGACGGCGGGATTGACAAATTAAATATTTTTGCAAAATAACAAGTTTTTAGAACATTTTTTGTAAAGTAAATGAGGAAAGGAATCAGGCTATTGTAGATAATTTATTTTATACATTATCTCCCAGGTTTAAAGGAGCAACTTATGTTTTCACGACTTTGAAAAAGTGAGATCTCTTTGAATTTGTTCACAAATGTTTGTTTTATCTCGAGAAATGATTAGTAGTTTATCCCTGTCAAGTCAGCTAACGCCAAATCTCCAATAAACCCGCTGGCTTCGGGTGAGATTAGAATGCCAGAATTAGTGGAACACCAATCTGTGAAGAAAATATAGTTTGTAGTTTTTACTGGAGTTAATTATTTTTTACTATTTATAAAAGATTTTACGGTTAAAGAAAATAATTAAAGGATTCAGATAAATGTACAAGAATGTATTAAATATAATAATTAATATAACGTAATATATAGATAATATACTTTTTTATTTTTACTTTCACTATGATTTTATCAATGGTTAAATACTTTTAAAATCAGAACTAAGATTATATTCAATACACTGTGCTAGTTAACAATCAAATGAAATATTTTGGATTATGGTTTGTGTCAATTTATTCTCCGTAAAAAAATAAATTTTATTTATTTATTTTATTTTACGAAAATTATACATTAAACGTAAAACAATTTTTTATCTGTAAGCTATGGTGGCATTAAGGTACGAAGGCACTGATTAGGGGTAACAATGCATGTATAGTAGTTAAAATATATCAAAATTCTTTTAATTCCAAACAATAAAGTATATTGAAGTAGTTTTTCTATTAGATGGATATTTATAAATGTAGACCTAGTTACTTCTTATATGAAATGTAACGAACATTATTTAAATCCAGAATGATAAATATTATTTGACGCTTAAACCACACATTTTCTATCGTAGTTGAAATAACAATATTAACTATAAATAAATTATTAAGCTTGTCACGTATCAAATTCATAGGGATGAACTTGCAAATACTTACAAATAGCCCTTAAATTATTCCAATTTACATTTTATTTCCATTCCATAGTATATATGTAAGAGCAAATACATGAAGTTTGTGAATACTTACTTTTTATACTACATACAAACATGTGTTGAAGGTATTCTTATCAAATTTAATTAAGCTCAGACCTAATATTGTGATCCTGTTAAGTTTAAGCTGAATTTTTGATTTATTTAGACTGATTAAATAAACCACCACAAACCACTACTGTGTAATGGA